CTCTCAGCGACCATCTTCAGAAGCTCTGTGAACGTGGGCTGTGTCTTTCAAAATGAAACGCATTCTTCCTCCACGATCCAGTCCTCAAACTCCTTGGTACTGATGGACCTAAACGAGTCGAATGCTTCCATCTACACAGAAACTTGCTTCTGGACGTTTACGGCAGCTTTATTCATAACTGCCAGAACTTGGAAGCAACCAAGATGTCCTTCGGGAGGTGAATGGACAGATAGACGGGGCTCCATCCACGCAGCAGAATGTTCTTCACACTGAAAAGAAAAATGAGAGAGAGAGGGAGCCACGAGGTGACAGGTGGGGCACCTTAACTGCATGTCACTCACTGAAAGAAGCCAATCTGGAAAGGTGCCATATCTTAGGGTACCAACTACCTATGACATTTGGGAAAAGGCAAACCACAGAAAGGGTGGGTTGCTAGGGGTTTGTGGCGGGGTTAAGGGGTGGGGTATGATAAATAGCTCAAGCACAGAGGACTTTTAAGGCAGTGAAACTATTCATTGTGATACATTCATGGCAAGATACATTTGTCAAAACCCATAGAATGTACAACACCAGGAGTGAACCCTAGTGTAAACTCTGGACTCTGACGACCATGATGTGTCCACGTAGATTCAGCGATAGTGACCAACACACAGAATGTTGATAGGGTAGTTGGGGAGAGGGAAACTCTGAGCACCTGTGTGGGTGGCGGGGAGGGGGTGGATGGAGAGAGCAGTAACAGCAGAGCAAGGGCATGTGGCACCTCTCTGTACTCTGCCCAATTTTGCTGTGAACTCGAAACTTCTTTAAAAAAATAATAAACCCCATTTAAACAAAGAAACAAATGAACATTCCAGTAGCATCACATGACTCCTCCTCTTCAAGTCCTCAATTTGCCTGGGCTACTTGAGAGTCAAACTTCAGGAGGCACTTGGCCTTTCAATCAGCATCCTTTCAAAGTTTCATCTGATGCCCACTCTTTATCTCACTACACTCATTTTTACACACTTTTAATTAAAAAATTTTTTTTTTGCCTGCAGCGTGCAGCTTGCCGGATCTTAGTTCCCTGACCAGGGATTGAACCTGCGCCCTCAGCAGTGAAAGCACAGAGTCCTAACCACTGGACCACCGGGGAATTCCCCAACACTTTAAAAAATATTTATTTATTTATTTATTTGGCTGCACCGGGTCTTAGCTGCGGCACGTGGGATCTTTTAGTTACTGCATGTGGGCTCTAGTTCCCTGACCAGGGATCGAACCCAGACCCCCTGCATTGTGAGCACGGAGTCTTAAACACTGGACCACCAGGGAAGTCCCTCTTTTTTTTAAAAAAAATATTTACTTATGTATTTGGTTGCATCGGGTCTTAGTTGCAGCAGGCGGGCTCCTTAGTTGCAGCACGTGGACTCCTTAGTTGCAGCAGGTGGGCTTCTTAGTTGTGGCATGCGAATTCTTAGTTGTGGCCTGCATGTGAGTTCTAGTTCCCTGACCAGGGATCAAACCCCAGCCCCCTGCATTGGGAGTGCAGAGTCTTATCCACTGCGCCACCAGGGAAGATCCCCCTCCTCTTTTTAAGATAGTATTTTTTCTTCTTTTTTAAAATTGGGGTATACTTGACAGGCAATATTATATATTAGTTTTCTGGAACACAACATAGTGACTTGATATTTTTATACTCTACAAAATGATCACCAAGATAAGTCTAGTTACAATTTGTCACCATACAATGTTATTACAGTATTATGGACGCTATTCCCTATGCTGTAAATCACACCCCAGGACATTTGTTTTATAACTGGAATTTGGAACTTCTCAATCTTTCTCAACTATTGCACTCATCCCTCCACTCCCTCCCATCTGGCAGCCACCAGTGTATTCTTGGCATCTACGAGTCCATTTCTGTTTTGTTGTGTTTGTTCATTTGTTTTGTTTTGTAGATTCTACATATAAGTGATATCGTAAGGTAATTGTCTTTCTCTGTCTGCTACATGTCACTTGGCATAATGCCCTCTAGGTCCATTCATATTGTCATGTGATTTCATTCTTTTTTATGGCTGAGTAATATTCCAGTGTGTGTGTGTGTGTGTGTGTGTGTGTGTCCAGTTTTCATACATATATATGAAAACTTCTTTATCCAATTGTCTATTGATGGACACTTTGGTGGCTTCCACATCTTGACTATTGCCAATAAAGCTGTCATGAACATAAGGGTGCATATATCTTTTTGAATTTGTGTTTTGGTTTCCTTCAGAAAGATACCCCCAAGTGTAATTCCTGCATCATATGGTAGGTCTATTTTTAATTTCTTGAGGAAACTCCATACTGTTTTCCATAGTGGTTGTACCAATGAACATTCCCAACAAAAGTGCATGAGGGTTCCCTTTTCTCCACATCCTGAGCAATACTTGTTATTTGTTCTCTTTTAGATGATAGCCATTCTTTCAGGTGTGAGGTAATCTCATTGTGGCATGGATGTGCATTTCCCTGATGATGAGTGATGTTGACCATCTTTTCATGTGTCTTTTGGTCAACTGTATATATTCTTTGGAAACATGTTTGGTCTTCTGCCAATTTTTTATTTGGGTTTTTGTTTTTTTGGAGGCTAACTTGTGTGAGTGAGTTCTTGGTCTATTTTGTGTATGAATCACTTACCAGACATATTGTTTGTAAATATTTCTCACATTCAGTAGGCTGCCTTTTTGTTTTGTGGATGGTTTCCTTTGCCGTTGAAAAACTTTTCAGTTGGATGGAGTCCCATTGCTTTATTTTGCCTTTGTTTCCCTTGCTTGAGGAGACAGGTCCAAAAAATATTGCTAAGACTGTTGTCAAAGAGTGTACTGCCGGGCTTCCCTGGTGGTGCAGTGGTTGGGAGCCCACCTGCCGATGCAGAGGACACGGGTTCGTGCCCCGGTCCGGGAGGATCCCACGTGCTGCGGAGCGGCTGGGCCCGTGAGCCATGGCTGCTGGGCCTGCGCGTCCAGAGCCTGTGCCCCGCGGCGGGGGAGGCTGCAGCGGTGAGGGGCCCGTGTACCACACACACACACACACACACACACACACATACAAAAAAGAGTGTACTGCCTCTGTTTTCTTCTAGGAATTTTATGGCTTCATGTCTTTGTTCTAGTTCTCCTAAAAATTCCATTGGTATTTTGCTAGAAATGGCATCAAAACTCTAGATAGCCTTGGGGTGTGGAATCATTTTAACAATACGAATTCTTCTAATCCATGAGCATGCTATGTCTTTCCATTTGTTTGTATCATCTTCAATTTCTTTCATCAATGTCTTCCAGTTTTTTGAGTCTAGGTCTTTCACCTCCTCAGTTAGATGTATTCCTAGGTATTTTGTCTTTGTTAATGTCATTGTCCATGGGGCTGTTTTCTTTTTTTTTCTTTTCTTTTTTTTTGCAGTACGCGGGCCTCTCACCGTTGTGGCCTCTCCCATTGCGGAGCACAGGCTCCAGACGCGCAGGCTCAGTGGCCATGGCTCACGGGCCTAGCCGCTCCGCGGCATGTGGGATCCTCCCAGACCGGGGCACGAACCCGTGTCCCCTGCATCGGCAGGTGGACTCTCAACCACTGCACCACCAGGGAAGCCCCATGGGGTTGTTTTCTTAATTTCTCATTCTGACGTTTTGTTGTGAGTGTATAGGAAGGCGACCAATTTCTGTAGATTAATTTTGTATGCTGCAACTTAACTGTGTTTTCTGATGAGTTCTATTTGGAGTTAGGTGTCATCTTCAAGATTTTCTGTATAGAGTACCATGTTATCAACAAACAGTGACAGTTTTACTTTTTCTTCTGCCATGAGATTCCTTTTATTTTTATTTTAAAAAATATAATTACTATGACTATGACTTCTTAGACCATATCAAATGAAAGTGGCCGGAATGGTCAGGGTTAGAGTTAGGTTTAAGTATAACTAACCCTCTTCCCCTTCCTCTCTCTCCATGTCTCTGAGACCTCCATGAAGGACAGGACTAGTCCACAGTCACAAATGGCTCAGGGAGTTGACCTGGACCATTGTTTTTCTGCCCCCTAGTCCTGGGCATAGTTTTGTGTACTGTCTGTGTATCTTCTTTGGCCAGGTGTCCATTCAGATCTTTCCCTATTTTAATTGGGTTGTTTGTGTTAGAGTTATTTGTGTTTTGAGACAAAACCTTTATTAGATATGTGTTTGCAAATATTTTTCTCCTGGTTTGTGACTTGTCTTTTGATTTTCTGAGTAAGGTCATTCACAGAGTACAAATCTTTAATTAAGTCCATGTTATTCCTTGTTTTCATTTTTAGATTGCCTTTTTGTGTTGTGTGTTAAAACTCCAAAGCTCATGATTTACATGGGCAAACCCAAGCTCATGTCAATTTTCTTCTATAATTTTGAATAGTTTTGTATTTAAAATTTGTCTGTGGGGACTTCCCTAGTGGCGCAGTGGTTAAGAGTCCGCCTGCCAATGCAGGGGACCTGGGCACGAGCCCTGGTCCGGGAAGATCACATACCGCAGAGCAACTAAGCCTGTGCGACACAACTACTGAAGCCTGTGCGCCTAGAGCCCATGCTCCCCAACAAGAGAAGCCACCTCAATGAGAAGCCCGTGCACCTCAACGAAGAGTAGCCCCACTCGACGCAAGTAGAGAAAGCCCACATGCAGTGATGAAGACCCAACGCAGGCAAAAATAAATTATAAAATAAAATAAAATTTGCCTCTGAATAACTTTGAGTGAATTTGGTATAAGTTGTAATGTTTGCATCTACATTCATTTCATTCCAAATGGTTTCCAATTAATTGTTCCTTAACTGATTTTAGAAAACTTTTGGGACAGAGACTCCAGTTCAGTTTGAATTTCCAGTTTAATGGATTCAGCAGTTCTGTCAATAGGGGGCGCTGTCTCCAGTGACCTGTGAGGGAGGCGCGGCCTGCACTTCCTGAACTGACCACAGGGTGGCGCCGAGCTCGCCTCTCTGACCCACAGCGCATGCGCGTTCCCTGCGAACTGGATTCTGAGCGCAGCTGAGAGGAGTGGAGCCTCCTCAGGCGCGAGGGCGGGGGCTTCGGGTGGGACGCCAGGCTCAGCGCCTCTGCTGACAGGAGCTCGGTCTCCGTCTCCTTAGGACTCGCTGGGGTTTCGGCTTCAGGACAAAGTGGGGCTGCGTCCACGCTGACTAGGGAACAGGTTACCTGAGGACCCAGGTGATGCCTGAGGGAAAGGTGAAGAGACAGCGAGGAAAAGTGGGGAGAAGCTTCCTGTGGGCGACTGACGGCCGAGGGGGTCCGTCTTCATGTGACCGAGGAAGGGCTTGGTGTGCAAAGCTGGGCTTTTGGTCAGGTTTGTGTGCAGGGTAGCCAGCATGAGTTATGGGGTGTCCAGTTTTCCCAGCACCATTTATTGTGGGGAGTGTCGTGCTCCGTGGTGTGTCCTTGGTCCCTTTGTCATGAATTAACTGACCCCGTCCGTGTGGGCTGAATTCTGAGCTCTCCGTCCTGTTCCTCTCGTCCCTGTGCCTGTTTTGAGCCAGTTCCGCGCTGTTTTGGTGACTGTAGCTTCGTGATGTAGTGTGAAGTCAGGGAGGGAGATGCCTCTAGCCTGTTCTCTTTTCTCAGGGTCGCTTTGGCTATTTGGGGTCCTTTGTGGTTCCACACAGATACTAGGAGGATTTGCTCTATTTTGGGGGAAAATACCGTGGAATTTTGGGAGGGATTGCATTCACTGTGTCCATTGCTTTGGGTAGAATGGGTATTTTAACAATATTAATTGTTCCATTCCCTGAGAACAGGATGTCTTTCCATTTATTGGTGTGTTTTTTAATTTCTCCATCAATGTCTTAAAGTTTTCAGTGTGCCGGTCTTTCACATCCTTGGTTAACTTTATTCCCAGGTATTTTGTTCTTTTTGATGCAGTTGTAAATAGGGTTGCCTTCTTTCTCTTTCTGATGGTTCATTATTAGTGTTTAGAAATGCAACTGATTTCTGTGTATTGAGTTTGCAACTTTACTGAATTCATTTATTAGTTCTAATAGCTTTTTTGTGGAATGCAGTGGAAAATTGGAATTCCAAAATCCCACTGTTTCTACCGTATCCAGGTCATCCACAACACGGAGGACAGTGGCTCCTAATATAACCTTCCCCCAGTGCCTCTAAATGACATGTGGACTTTGGGTGAACTGGATCTGGGTAAAGCTTGGCTGCTCTATGGAAGCTTGATGTTTTCTCTGCTTTTCTGGCGTGCTATTGACATACATGATGTTTTGAAAAGTAATTTACTTTCCAGTAATTTCAAACATACAACTTTACATGCATAAAACAAGTCTTGTACCTTGATTAAATATACTCCTAAATATTGATGTTGACATTATTTAAAACGGAATTGTTTTCATAAATTCTTTTTCAGATTATTTTTTGCTAGCGTATACATATAAGACAGATTTTCATGAATTGATATTTTGTTCTATAACTTTGCTTAATTAGTTGATTAGCTCAAATAATTTCTTCGCTGATTTTAGGTAGTTTTATATATAAGATGATGTGACCTATGTTCTGTGAAGAGACACAGTTTTAATTTTTCCATTCACCCACAGATGCCTTTCATTTTTTCCTCAAGAGTCTGGGTAGAACTTCCAGTACACTACTGAGTAACGGTGATGGAGGCCAGCTTCCTGGCCTTGCTCCTGATTTCAGGAGTAAATCTTTCAGTCTTCAGCATTGAGCATGATGTTTGCTGTGGCTTTTTGTACTACTCTTTTCCATATTGAACAAATTTCCTTTTAGTCCTGCTTTCTTGAGTGTTTATCATGAAATAACACTGGATTTTCACTGTAGTTTTTTTGCATTAATTGATATGATCATGTGTTTTTACTTCACACCATTATTGTGCTTTAATACATTGCTTACTTTTAATATGTTGAGCAACCTGAAACTTCTGGTGTAGAGATACTTGCTTATGGCATTATCCATTTAAAGTTCTGTTGGTTTCATGTTGCTATTATTTTGTGATAGATTTTTACATTCGTATTTATAAGTTATATTGGGGTAGTTTTCTTTTTTTTTCTTTCTTTCTTTATTTTTTATTTTCTTTCTTTCTTTTTTTTGTGGTACACGGGCCTCTCACTGTTGTGGCCTCTCCCGTTGAGGAGCACAGGCTCCGGACGCGCAGGCTCAGCGGCCATGGCTCACGGGCCCAGCCGCTCTGCGGCATGCGGGATCTTCCCGGACTGGGGCACGAACCCGTGTCCCCTGCATCGGCAGGCGGACCCTCAACCACTGCGCCACCAGGGAAGCCCGGGATTTTTTTAAAAATTCTTTTTCTGATGGTTCATTATCAGTGTATAGAATCATAAATGATTTTTGTGCATTGATTTTTCTTTTTCTTTTTTTGTATCCTGCAGCTTTACTGAATTCATTTTTTAGTTGTAACAGTTTTTTTGGTGGTTGAATGTGGAAAACTAGAATTCAGAAATCTCACTGTTTCATCTACATCCAGGTCATCCACAGCACCCAAGACATAGTGGATCCCAATATAATCTTCCCATGGTGCCTCTTGTAGTATGTGGACTCCTACAAGAGTGATTAGCATCACCACTGTGGGTGAACTGGATCTGGGTAGGGCTTGGCCTCTATAACAGAATTTGATGTCTGTATTTCTGGCATGGTATGACATGGTTGTTTTTATAAGTACTTTATTTTCTAGTAAATTTCAAGTGTATAAAAAACTTTAAGTAGCAGTATAAAGTTTTCCACATTCACAAAATACTCCAGTTTGTTTTACCCTGTGAGAGTGGGAGGGCCACTCTCCCAGGGAACCAGCACATAACCCCAAAGTGAGGAATAATTATGGTTTCCACATTATAATCCTATCCACAGGCCCGCTTCAACTTTCACCAGCTGCCCCAGCTTTGTGGAAATGTATTTTTCTATTCGAATCCAGTTTTCTTTTCTTGGAACCATCACTGGGGCTTTTCCTCACTTTAAAAACCTTGCTGGATTGAAAGTGTACAAGATGAGCATGATCTGGGTGGGTTTTCTGTATGGCTTCTTTCACTTGGGACGTTTTCAGTATTTATCCGCATTGTAGCATTGATCATTATTTCATTCATTTTTTCCATTGTGGTTAAAAACACATAACATTTACCATTTAAACCATTTTTTAAAAGCTTTTTAAAAAACTTATTTTATTTTCTATTTTTTGGCTGTCGGGTCTTTGCTGCTGCACGCAGGCTTTCCCTAGTTGCGGCGAGCGGGGGCTACTCTTTATTGCCGTGTGCAGGCTTCTCATTGCGGTGGCTTCTCTCGTTACGGAGCACGGGCTCTAGGCGCACGGGTTTCAGTGGTTGTGGCACGAGGGCTCAGTAGCTGTGGCTCGCGAGCTTAGCTGCTCTGAGGCATGCAGAATCTTCCAGGACCAGCGCTTGAACCCGTGTCCCCTGCAATTGGAAGGTGGATTCTTAACCACTGTGCAATGGGGAGAGCCCCATTTAAACCATTTGTAAGTATCCAGTTCTATGGCCTTAAGTACATTCACATTGTTGTAAAAATATCCTCACCATCCATCTCCAGAACTTTATTTTCCCCATGTGAAACTGTAGCCATTAAACACTAACTCCCCTCAACCCCTGGCAACCTTATTCTACTTTGTCTTTGGATTTGACTTATCTGCATACCTCATACTATTGGAATCATAGAACGTTTGTCCTTTTTGTGTCTGGCTGGTTTCACTTAGCATAATGACTTCAGGGTTCATCCACATTGTAGCATGTGTGAGAATTACCTTAGTTTTAAAGGTTGAATCATATTCCATTGTGTATATACTACACTGTACTTATCCATTCATCTGTTGAAGGATGTGTTGTGTTGCTTCCACCTTTTGGCTATTGTGAATGATGTTGCTATGAATATGGGGTACAGATATCTGTTCCAGTCCTTGCTTTCTAATATTCTGGGTGTACACCTGGAGTGGAATCAAGGGATCATACATTTTCCATGTTTTTGAGGAGCCACCATACAGTTTTCCACAGCGGCTGTATAATTTTACTTTATTCCTTTACATGACAGAATAATGCAGCTTATGGATCTACCTTACTTTGCTTATCCGTTTACCTGCTGATGGACATTTAAATCTTTCCTACCCTGGGCTATTGTGAACAGTGCTGCTATGAATCACTGGTGTACAAGTTTTTGTTTGAATGCCTGTTTTCCACTTTTTTGGTATATATCTAGGAGTGGAGCTGTTGAACCACATGGTAATTATATTTTATATTTTTGAGTAAATGCTAAAGGTTTGTACACATAGACTGCACCGTTGTACATATCCACAAGTAACTTTTAAGGGTTCCAATTTCTCTGCATTGTTGCCAACATTTGTTATTTTTATTTACATGTTTTAAAATTTATTTTTATTCTAGTGTGTGTGAAGAGGCATCACACTGTGGCTTTAATTTGCATTTTCATCATGACTCCTGACGTTTGACATCTTTTCATGTCCTTGTTGACCATTTGTATGTCTTGCCTGGAGAGCAGTCCATGCAAGCCATTTGTCTGTTTCAAAAAATTGTATTGTTTGTCTTTTTGTTGATGAGTTGTAAAAGTCCTGGGTATATTCTAGGTAAAGAGTCTTATCAGATATATAATGTGCCAATATTGTCTTCCATTCTGTGGACTTTTTACTTTCTGGATAGCCTCTTTTGATGCACAAAGGTTTGTAATTTTGAGGAAATCCAATGTATCTATTTTTTAATTTCCTTTCTTATGCTTTACTGTCAAGTCTAAGAAACCATCGCTAAATTCGTGGTCGGGAAGATTTAATTCCTTGGTTTATTTGAGAGTTCATAGAGTCCTTTCTCGGTACCCACTAGGCTAGGCTTTAGGCCTGGGGCTGAGTGAGTGTGAGGGTTCCGGGGTCACGGTTTAGGGTTATGGGTCATTGTTGGAGAGTCATGGTAGAGGGTTGTGGTTAAAGGGTCAGGGATTAGAGTTTAGGGGTCAGTGGCGAGGGTCTAGGGGTCTGGGGCTAGGGTTGTTAGGGGGTTACGGTGAGAGGTTAGGGTTCTTAGGGTAAAGGTTAGAGTTAGGTTTAAGCACAATTGGCCCTCATTGCCCTCCCCTCTCCTTCTCTCTGAAGCCTCCAGAATGGATAGGACTTGCCCAGGGTCAAACAGGAGTCAGGGAGCTGAGGCCAATAACTGTTTTTCTGGCCTCCCTTCCCCCAGTCCTGGGCTCTGAGAGAAGAATGAAATGTCTGTTCTTGTCTCGGACTGTTTCTTATCCAGCTCAACCTCTGTCAAGGATTGGGGAGGGTGTCAGAAGTCATGCATGGTTTCCTTCTGCCCTCCCACCTGGGAAGGGTGATGCTGGCCCTACTCTGCCTGGGCAGCCCCAGGTTCCAGCACAGCCCAGACAGGAGGGCACTCAGTGGACATGTGTGGATTTATACAGGACTGGGTGCAGTGACCTGCCAGCCCCCAGATGCTGCCTTCTTGAGGGCTGGTGGGGCCCTCCTGGCACTGGAGGCATCCTTTGTCCCATCTGAGTGGGCATGAATAGATGATCAAGCCTCAGGCAGGACAGCCCTTGACCTCTGACTATCCAGGCAAGCATCTGTGGTCCTCTAGCTCAGTCCAGCCCGGGCACTGTCAGGCCCTCATGTACAGTTATGGAGCTGACCATGATGCCAGGCAATTCAAGAGCTACCTGGGCAGTGTAGACATTCCTTTGAGAAGTTTCAACTACCAACATGCATGTGGCTGAGAAAAAGGCCTCCCGCTCACGGCCTCATAGGCTGCCAAGAGAGGTAATAATCCTCTAGACATTGGAGTGTGGCCCTGACACAACACCCATACAGCAGACCATGGCCCTGCAATCCTTTGCTCTTTCAGTCGTTAGAAACTTTTGACATGCATATTCATTAAGAATCAAAGATATGGGAGCAACTGGACCTCCCAGTGGGAGGTTTACACTGACACTGCCATTGTCTTGGAGAGCCCTATGCATCCATGTGGCCTCTGGAAAGCCTGCCAATTATGGGTTCCATGGCATGGAATAATTCTTGAGCCTCCTGTTACTTCATTGCACAAGAGTTTCCTTACCACCCTAGCATTTGTTTCTTCCTCTTAGTAAAGGAGAGAGAAGAAACTGGAAAAGGAGCAGTATTGTTTTTCAGGGATGGGCAATTAATATGGCCAGGGAGATGGCATAGCTCAAGGGCTCCCACCTCTCAGGGGCAGGAATGAGGTCTGTGTGTCTTCTGAGGGCAAATGGGCTGTTCTGGGCCAGCCTCTGAGATGTGAGGACCTGATGACCAAGGAAAGAGACTTGAGTTTACCACCACCAATGATCCTGACTTTTCAGCAAGGGAAATAACTTCTTGCAGTCTTGGGAGGGACAGTAAGAGCCCTGGATGAGTAGCTGCAGCCCCTGACCCTAAGTGAACCCCTTTCTTCCTTTTGTGTCAGATTCTGTGCTGTGCAGTGAGCTGTCATTGACATAGAATCTGTTGCTCTCTCCCAGCCAGCATCTGTTCTCAGGCCCAAGTGCCTCAGTTTTCCTTTGGGAATTACATCTCACCTGCTTCCAGTCCAAACAGTTGCAGAACGATGACCCCATGTTCCACCCAGCTCAAAGATGGGTTTACAACCCACATCTAGCCAGTCCCATTTTCCATCTTCTGGTGATGGGTCAAGGATAAGAATGCAACCCAAGGCAGACCAAAGGCATTTAAAACCATGACTCTCTTGGAATCCAAGAAAAGGAGAAACTCTTTCTCAGAAAATGGATGGTGAGTGGTTGTCAGCCTAGAACTGCTGTTGGCTCAAGGGCAGTGAGAGAGCCTGTGCCTGTGAATGGGGTCCCCCAAAGGCACTGAGCGGGACAAAGGTTTGGAGAGAAGCAAGGTCACCCTGAGATGGTGTGAGCCCCTGGACCTGCCAGGTCCAAACCCATTCTTCAACTTTCCACTTGCAAGTATTAACGTATTTCTACTCTTACAATAAATACTAATTTATTTTACTTCCGTAAGTGTGTCCAGTCGCTGGGAAAAGAAAAAGTCCTGGTTGATACATCTGAGTCAATAATCCCTGACCCTTCCTCAGGTGTCCTCACTGGGTAGGTGTGTCTGGGGGAGGTGAAGACACTGGGTGGGGGGTCATATACTAGGGGAGCTGCCAAACAGCTCTGTCCCTGCTCCTTCCCTGTCCCGGGAGAGGGAAAGCCTGGAACAGTGATAGGATAGCCAGTAGGGGAAGAGGTTCCTCAGTGGTTAATTGGCCTTTTTGTGTTTTCCTTAATTTAGGGTCCATTTGGGTAATGTGTTTTTACAAAGAAATCCCCCTTTTCCTCTAGATTTCCAGTTTGTTACAGTAGGTTTCTCTTATTTGATGTTTAATTTTTCCTGTCTAATTTTCTACAGAATCATGACAAATAATGAACAAATACTGATCCTTTACTATTAACTGAAGTCCCTATTCACATTCCCTTTGTTATACCTTTCCTTGTTCCAGGGTCTCAGAGGACATGGGATCATCATGCGTGTTTAGTCTCTTCTGGGCTCTGACAGTTGCTCAGACTCTCCTTGTTTCCATGACCTTGACAGCGTGGAGGAGGGCTGCTCAGGTATTGTATAGACTGCCAGGCGCTGGGATTTGCTTGGTGGTTTTGTCGTGGTTAGACTTGGCTTTGAAAAACAGACCACAGAGGTGAAGTCCTTCCTCTTCACTAAATATCAAGAGGACAGGCTCTTAAGGGAACTTCTCCCTTATATTCTTCATTTTGGTCACCTAGCTGAGGTAATGTTTGTCAAGTTTTCCCACAGTGAGGTTAATTTTGTCCCATGTTCATCCTGTGTGTCTTATGTAGGAGGAAGTCATAATGCAGAAGCCACACTTGAGGAGAGAGGGGTGAGCTTCACATCCTTGGTGGACAGCTGAGTGGCTATATACATTGTTTAGAAGCTTTCTGCATAGGAGATTTCTATTTAACACCATTCTTCAAAAACTATGTAATTTATTTGTACCAGTTTGGACACGTGAATAATTATTGTAAACTTTTGGTTATAATCCAGCACTACATTATTAGACTGCTTAGTTAATTCTTGCTTTGGCTGTTGAGAGCTTCTTCCATTTGCTCCTGTTTTCATTTTACATAATTTTCTTTTGTGGGTTTTTTAAATTTTTGGTGCTTCTTTACTTTCTGATATTTTAAGATTATCCTGCTTCATATATTTA